AAACATCCACTTATTTCAACCCCGATGTAAGTACTTCTCCTTCAAAGATAACTTCTGCTAATGCATCGACAAGCAATACTTCAAAATCTGATTTGTGTACCTCTCCAATGGTACCATTAGCTGGTATACATTATTTTATGATTTGTATCCCTCTCCTTTGATAACGTCTACTAATGCAGCAACTGGCAGTATTTCCACTAATTCTGTGTATCCTTCCCAGTGCTTAACTTCTTTTTATTCTTCCCAGTCTATGGTAACCCCTGCTAAAACACAAACCTTCGATTACCTTTGCTAATACACAAAAAAGAATTTCAATAATCATGTTTTTTCTTCTTCATCAATTATTACCTTTGTTGATATTCCAACCTCAATGTTACCGTGCAAGTAAGGTCATCTGACGTTCACAATTAACCGTCAGCATTTGTAGTGACGAAGAAATTATCCAAACGTCATTTTGCTTGCGATAAATAAACTTAATTTATCTGAAATGAAAGAAGAAAGAAAAAATAAAAGAATTGTCAGATATGATAACACAGATTAAAAAGGAAGGGTTGCAATAATGAACGCAAGGTTCATTGGTATTGAATATGTTGCGTAAGACAGGGGAAAGCAGAAACAGATAAGAAAAAAGATGCAAAACGGCAAAAAAGAAAAATGGATAAAAAAACAAAAATTAAAGATTGACAAGGAAAGAATACAAAAGAGAAAAGAAGCATATAACAGTGAGAAGTGACTCATAAAACACATCACACATCAATTCAATTGATTCATAAAAAAAATAGATATTAATTTTCTTTTTTATGATGATAATCTGCAACAAATACAACCAGAATTCTAAATACAATAGTGGGAAGGGAAATAACTCTTTATCGCTTACAAGAGCAGAATGTTGGTGTTCCCTCCTCTTAATTGAACTGATCATGTTAGTAAGCAATATATTTTCATTTTACTATGAAGCACTACTTTGGCAGAATTTAATCACATTTCATAAAGGCATTAGCTCAGAGTAATTAAAGATATGCTATGCTCAAATTTTATATTTGAAAATAAAATATTGATAATTGGTTCACAATCTTTTTGTAACTATTAATATACATGTTTTGACTTCAAACAAAGGAGATATTTCATGCTTTAAATCCTATACATTACAAGTGGTTATATTATGAATATATAGTGTCGTTACAAACAGCTTTACTTGATCCGTAATAAGGAACGCAGATTCCTTTACATAATTTGTACGTTCTTTTATTTAATTAAGACATATTCGGTAATTTTAAAGATTTCAATAACCTTTTTCTGAAGAAAAACATATTTAACTCAAAGATGAGCGTAGTATATCTTTAACAACCTTAAGGTTAAACCAATATCAATTTCGAAAACATGTACAATTATATCCTTATTTTCTTTCTACAAAATGAAACAAAACACTTATGTACGTTTGTACGATTTGATATTTCAAGTATGTCTATGTATAATAATATACCGTTGATACAAAATGACAAAAAATAGGACTTCAATTTATCATAACGATAAGGGTACAAAAAAATTGACTATATCAAACAATAAGCATGCCCGAATCAAGCTTAAACAACAGCAAAAAAAAAAAAAAAAAAAAAAAAAAACACCAAAAAAGCCCCAACAAATAAACAAATCCATAAAATTGAAAACAAATCTGTCGTAGGAATGACAGTTACCCACGAACAACCCAAGCTACGCTACTGTGAAGTGGAAAACGTGTTTTTAAGCGTAAATGGAAAAAAACAAACTTGTATTACATTCTTTTTTGGGATAAAGGAAGTACGGTACAAATCAATACACGCCATTTTTTTATTTCATAATACATGTACATTCATTAAAATTAAAAACACATTTTAAAAGAAGTTATCAATGGCAACCTTAATATTACTAAATTGAGGATAAAGGCCGAGAATAAATGGCATTTTTAAGAAGACGTGATATATCTTTCCACTCGAATCATTGTTTTTATCCTAATCACAGTTGGTGATATATTATTTCCTTTCGCAAGATATTTTCAGCAAATAAAATCGATACATGCCTCCTCAGTCACGACTATCGTTTGCAGTTTAAAGGCTTACGCAACTATATTGATTATATATGCGACTAGTTTTGTTTACTTTAAAAAGGCTATTAAATTTGTAATATGAAACTTTAGGAGTATTGAATAGACGAATAAACTTGACACAACGTATTATACATTCTTTTCTTCTTTCCGTAGTATAGAACCCTATCCGAAAACTATTATAAAATGTAAAATGTTCATCGGTATTTTTTTTACTATTTCTTTCTACAACAAACTTTGGACACAATACATCATGCACAAAGTTCGTATTCAAAGAGATGACCGTTGGGTAGTTATGGCTGCCGACGAATTATCCCAGGTTTAAAGTTATAATACCGTTCAACGATGATATTTTACCCGACAACTTAGTTTTCAGAAATTATCACCTAAATCATAAGTATATCCTCATTAATGATGAACTGCTATACAATTTTAATCTTATTTCGCCGAAACACTCGGATGCAACTGGATATAATATCGCCAGTTTTTGAAATCCCCGCCATTTGTAAAAGCTCTCGGGCCCGATCGGTTTCATTCGGAATTAACTCATTTGCATACGGAAAAGTTCGGAAATGCTATAATTAGAAACAAGTTCGGAAACGCTATAATTAGAAACGTCAACAAACTTGCGACCCCGATATTAGGAGATATAATATAAATGACGGATGCAATTTTATTTTATGTTTTGTAATTAATAAACGATATGAAAAGCTATTTATTAGCTAAGGAAGGTAGCTTATATCCTCGTAACGCGTTACGAAACAATCGGAAAGAGGACAGGGTCTGAGACTCTCACTAGATTTACAGTAGATTCTAAACAAGAAGATGGAGCGTTTGGTCATGTCTATGTCGTACGGTTGCTGTGGTTATATTACCCGTTCTTTATGATCGCTTCGTACCAGAAATAATACGTACCTATTGCCAAGCTTCCATCGTAGTTATAAGGCATACAGTAGTGTGCGTCATGTAAATATTATGAAACACAGACACTTGGGCTTTGGTGCTCAATCTGTATTATATTATAGATGTTGAAATATGAATTTTTTTCAAAACGGCTTATATTAAGTTTTTTTGTTTTTTTTTTTTATTTTAAAGGCGTTTTGAGCTCCAAACCCAAGTGTCTGTGTTAGGAAATTATAATGAAAGAACTATAATTAGGCAATCTGGTGTAATAACCTGTATAGGGTGTTACCAGATTAAATAACCAGTCAACTGCATGCAAAAGCCAATACATATTTAACATCTATAGACTCAACCCTTTGATATATGATAATGTATAATTATACTTCAATTTATAAGCAAACAAGAATGGAAAAAGGACCAAGTTAAAGTTCTGATGCCTATAATTTTGAAAATGATCACTCAAGACCTGATTTTTATGTTAGCCTTTTGTACAAGTGCTAATTATGGAGAATAATGTACTAATGAGAATTTCATTCCAATACAAACACAGTGCAACCTGTGTAAATATTATTCTGTTAACAATGAACAGTTGCATTCCACTGCATGAAAATAAGATTGCCAAGAATTAAATCCTAATCTCTGGATTATGTACACCGGTATGGCATAAAACCATAAATTTCACCACTTTATGTTCAAATGTTGAATTCTGCTAAATCTGGTGCTAGGGGGGCATGGAAGGTAACTTGCACTTTCCAACAGGCTCACCAAATAGAGCCTGCAACAGTTTCAATTTTGTCATTTTGGGCTTTCTGCAGGAATTCTTTATTTCTCTATTTTCTGATGTCAAATGTACTTTTTTAAAATTCAAGTAAGATCACAGATTGTAACAATGTTTTACAAATACCTTCCAATGTTAATTTACACTCCACTTCTCTTAGCACGTTTCAGGACACATTTTGGAATGTTGTTAAAATAACAAAAACACAGATAAATTGAAACATGTATTTGAACATTGGCAGTAAAACAACAATAAAATATTTTGAAATGACTAGCATATCTTCTTTTTCTTACTCTTAAAATTGTACAACAGTGACTTCTTTACAGTTATAGTTCAATCCATGCTGTCTTAACAGGAAGAGAAAGTGTGAAGATGGCCAATATTGTAGAAGGACATAAATAATATCTTAATTCCAACCAAATTGTATGAACTTGAGCTAACCCCTTATGGGTTTCTGGTGATGAAGGATATTATGCTTAAGCCATTGAGACCTTAGACCTTATTAATTCCAAACTAATGCTTAATTACTAATCTAAGCAATGTCCCTGGAAATGCTCAAAACCTTGGGACAATGAGTTTACATGTCACTGAGACCTTGAACTTATAATCAAATGGACCAATCTTAAAACTTATGGCAATCAGAATTTTTCCTTCTGAGTTACATAAACTATACCTTACAATGTTACACATATTTAAAGGAAGTTAAACTTTATGCCATCTTGAGCTTTAAATCTAATTACCTCAAAATCAGTTGGTGCCATTATCTGGAGAAGGGCAATGTTCCTACCAAGCCTAAAAACTTAGGCTTACCCCTGAATGTAAAATATTGTTTGTTCCCCACTCCTGCGACCTACCTACAAATAGCACAGCTACTTAAAATATCTTATTGCCCAGGATTTGTTTACTAAAATGAAATGAGAGTGTCAATGAGAATGACATCTTTTTAACTGTCTCGTGATTTTTTAATTGCAAATATACAAATGTTGGGATATTTGTTGATTAAAACTGAAAATATGGTTCTAAATTTTCAAGTAAAACAGATGCTTTCATGCATTCACAATTTGTTTGAACTACATATAATTTTTAATGAAAAATAAAACAAGACAAAACATTTGAATAACTAGGAAAGTGTCCATAGGACACGGGTCCCCCCCTACGCGCCACTGTTTCTGTCAATCTTATGACTCTAGGTCAAATATTTTTTGAAAAACTAAAAATCTTTTACTAAGTAAAGGGCAAGAACTTTACAAATACTGAAAAAATTCACAAGTTAACCCCAAGGTGCATAAGTACACATGCTGACCAACATTCTTTTAAACATTCTGGCCTACAAGTGAAATACTTTCTGAGCTATGCATGAACAAGTTGAAAATTGTAAATTATTCGATAAATTAAAGTGAACCTGTAGTAGCCACTCCTATATAGTCTTTCTTATTTATATTTTATCCCTGTAGGATATTAATTATGGAGTTAAATGATAAATTATTTATGTTTGGCTGAATGAAATGAAAGAAAACATAAATACTTTTTGAGCTATGCATGAACAAGTTGAAAATTGTAAATTTATACTACTGTAAGTCAAGGGCAATAACTCTAACAAAACTGAAAAAAAATCCACATGAAAGTCCCAGGTTCATAGCTTCACAGTGATGTAAATCATTATTCCTGTAATTTAGTGATGTTGATCATTATTCCTGTAAAGTTGGTTGATTCTCACTCAAGCACTCAAGGAACAAATAACAACATAATGAAAGGTTTTTTACTAAGTCAAGGGAAATAACTCTACAAATACTGGATAAATCCACAAGCCAAACCCCAGGTGCAAAACTAAATATGCTGAGCAACATTCCTGTAAGGTTAAATGACTCTATGTCAAATCCTTTTTGAGTTACATGTGACACAAGTTGAAAACTGCAAAATTTTACCAAGTCAAGGGCAATAACTCTAAAATTCCTAGATAATTCCAGACGAAAATACCCAGATGCGCAACTACACCTGCTGATCAACATTCCTGTAAAGTTTCATGACTCTAAGTCAAACACAATTTGCAAAATTTTACTAAGTCAAGGGCCATAACTCTCAAAATATTAAATCCAGACGAAAATACCCAGGTGCACAACTACACATAATGTTCAACATTCCTGTTAAGTTTCATTGCTCTAGGTCAAATACTTCTTGAGTAACATGTGACACAAGTTGAAAATTGCAAAAATTCAATGGCAGTAACTCTGAAAATACTAAAAATATCCAGATGAAAATACCAAGGTGAACAACTACACTTGCTGATCAACATTACAGTAAAGTTTCATGACTCTAGGTGAAATACGGATGGACGGACAAGGGTAAATCTAAATGCTAAAGTGGGGGCACAAAAATAAATATTTTATCAGCCCACCTAACCTATCTGAACTGGAATGGGATGAGGGAGTAAATACAAAGATAATTTTAAGGCTTGCCTTGTTTGATTGAACAAGGATTTTATATAAAAAGCCCCTATGTCATTGGTCTAATAAACTAGATTGGACTAAAACAATTCATGGACTAATAACAACTAGATCTCCGCGAGTCGGATGTGTTGCCTGGTGAACAATATAGTTTAGGAGAAATGGCCAAGACAAAAATGAAATATGAAAATTAACAAAGGGCAATAAAGTTAAAGCCACTAATAGCAAATAACAAGCAAAGCCAAAATTTAGACATTTAACCTTGAAGGTCAAGGTCAATTATGAATGAAGGCCAAGGTTAGACAATACACCAAGAACTTTAAAAGTTATGAACAAGGTTCAAGTTTGCAGAAGGCAATGGCAGCAACCTCTATTTCTTTTTTCAAAAAAAAAAAAAATAGAGAAGCTGAGCTAAAGTGAATGACATAGTACATGTATATCAAAAGATATAATTGAATAATACTTTTAACTTCGTTACTACATTAAAGCTCATAGCAGCACTTATAGTTTAATAGATTGGATAATATTTTGCACTTATATAAAAAGTAGTCATTTTTCTGACAAAATATTAAAAACAGACCTTGAGTCATGACAAATGAATCAAGAGAATTTTTTTCGAAACAAGATAGATACAGTGCCATATCTAAAAAGATATTTCATAAAACTATCATGAATACCAGGTGTTCAATGTCAGCTTAAATATGTTTGAATAGTTGGGCAATCAGTGTAACACACTATTTATCATTCTTTTCCATAAAAAGTCAATCATATCTTGATTTATGTTCCTCATGAATGGTTCGGGTAGGCTTCGGGCTAACTTGGGCCAAATATTTTGAAAGTCTGTGGGGGTCATCTTCCTCTAACTTTGTATTTTATATATCCCCTCCATGTCACTAATTCTCAGAGTTATAGCATCATGAAAAATGGTATAATGATACTTTTTCTTCTTCTTTAATTCATCCAGACTCGCTGAAGTCTGAAATGAGAAATTAACAAGCCTGTTATAACAAAAATCATAAGTGTATACAATTCTCAAAATGCATTACATGTAATTATGTCCTCAAAATTTATTAGTCAGGTTATTCAGAGACTGCAAAATCTCTTTTGATTGAAATTAATATTATATAGGCAATATAAATGCATAGTGATCACACTTTCAATAAAAATATCTTATAATTCATAAAGGCAGGAACATTTAATACTAAGATATGCAGCATTTATATTTATATGCAAAAATGAAAAAAAAAAATGTTGAGAATCTATATGCCCAAAGAAGATAAAGCACAACATTTTATTTAGGTTTTGCCTCTTTATATGTTTTAAGAACTGAAATCTTTCTATTGAAATAAACAAAGAAACATGCTACATCTATATTAGACTCAGTACAGAGTACATCTATGTTGAACATTATTATAGTTCCAAACTATATAAACAGGAGTGGGTAACAAACAATATTTTACATTCAGGGGTAAGCCTATAGTTCCAAACAATTCACTTTATTAACACAAACTGGACACTGTTTTCTTTCATTCTGTAAAATTGTGAAACATTACATGTTGGAGTTTTGTAAGTAGCATACCTAACAGATCCCCCTTGTTGGTGATGTATGGTCTATTTGCATGTATATTATAATCTATGGCTGCAAGAAGATTGTGCATCCTATAAGCAGGTGGTGTGTAAGCAAATCTTTTGGTACAATACATCAAGATGTGCTGTTGAAACCCCTACATGCCAGCTGTACTTCTAAAAATGAATACAAATAATGGAAAGATATTTTCATTTAAATGATTTTAGTAAGGAAAAATCCTTTAACATTAACATATTCATAGGCTAGATATAATCTCTGTATGTAAATAATTATCTTTGAAAAGATTTTACACAGCCCTATCCTTCAATTTTTAAGTGCCATAAAGGTGCCAATTAATTTATACATAATGGTTGTAGGTCCATTTGCGTTAACATATAAAGGTGCTGTAAACATTGAACATTCTATAATCAATAGACATATGAGCTTTGTATTAATCAGGACATATACTCCTTTCCAGTTAGGAAAATAAATCCTTTTAAAAATTTCACTCCAAACTGCTAGCATATCTTAACAAAGATAGACATATCTCCTGTGCAGAATTAATGGTTCCAACATTGGAGCCATTGGCTTCAACTTTTTTGATTGGCCAATCTGGTGGTGCAAACTAAAATTGCTCCAGGGGGAACCCCTGTCAATATAAATTTCTTTTATTGTACCTGATGAGAACATACCTGCAGTTGAGATATTATGTCATCTTATTTAGAACACCAGCCAGATCTTTCAGACTATGTGCATCTTATTTCCTTTGCAGCCATGGTTTGTTCTGGTTTCTAATGGGCCATGATTGTACTAGGCAGTGGTGTATTCCATCATCTGGAAACAGAATCCATTTATGCTCAATAACTATAAGATTGATGCAGACACTAAAATATATTATTCCCTGAAATAAAATATCAAGACAAATAAGCATGCATTAAAAAATGGCAAAGAAGTCAGCCTTCAACAAGTTTTATGAAACATTACTAAGCATTTCACATCTATTTTACATATAAAGTGCTTACCATAAACCTATGAAGTATTCCACATTATGCATCAAAACATCTTGCATGCATTAATTTTCTTGCAACAAATGACAATTATGTATTGCTATCTAGAATTTTATCTAAATATTTCTTGAGCAACAGAATAATCATATAAAAATATCAAACATTCAAACAAAATCAAATATATAATTAACAAGCAATTATCATAGTATTGCAAGCAATCCATAAGTCCCCTACCGGTAAGAGCCCAAGCAACATTCTGAAGGGCCATTGGCCATTCACTTAGGTTCCTATTTTAAGTAAATTTGTTGAAAAAGTTCTTTAAAAGTGATCACAGGAAACAGTTTTTATGTACAGACAGACGGACTGAAGGACACTCTAAAGTTATTTTTTAAACATCCCTGTTATCAAAATATAACATTTTTAAAATCCTATCATGATTGAAGAAGTTGGAGTAAAAATTACCAATTTCTCAAAAAAAAAGTCTAAGTTCAAAAGGGGCATAATTCTGGAAATAGTCTTGCTAGAGTATTGAACACTCACAAATGTTGAGTGACAATAAGAAACATTTATATGAAGTTTGAAGTAGATACATTCAGAAAAAGAAGTTATTAAAAAAAACAATGTTTTTTTTTCATGAAAATTTTAAGTTCAAGGGAGGTAATTCTGATAAATTTTGTGCTAGAGTTGTAAACCTTGTCACATATGATGTGGTTGATGACAAGCAACTTATATTTAAAGTTTGAAGAAATAAAGAACTTATAGCGAAAAAACTTAAAAACTAGAATCAGAAATCTTGAAATTCAGTCTATTTGTTGCCATAGCAACCAGAATTTTCAACATAGGAAGATAAAAAAGAATGTGCATAATTTCCATACTGCCATCTACCCATATGTCAAGTTTCATAAACATATTTTCAGTACTTTTTGTGTTATCACTGGATCCAGGTTATGTGTAAAATTTGCCATATTTTCAGTCTATTTGTTGCCATTGCAACCAGAATTTTCAACATAGGAAGAAAAGAAAAAGACGTGCATAATCTCCATACTGCCATCTATCCATATATCAAGTTTCATGAAAATATTTTCAGTACTTTTTGCGTTATCGCGGGATCCAGGTTATGTGTAAAATTTGCCATATTTTCAGTCTATTTGTTGCCATAGCAACCAGAATTTTCAACATAGGAAGAAAAGAAAAAGACGTGCATAATCTCCATACCGCCATCTATCCATATATCAAGTTTCATTAAAATATTTTCAGTACTTTTTGCGTTATCGCAGGATCCAGTTTTGTGGACGGACGGACTGACGGACTGACAGACAGACGGACGTTCTAACAGGAGAGTAATTATGTGGCTACTCTATTGTTCTCTCTATTGTTCTTTTTAGCCACACAAAAGAAAATAGCCACATAAAAGCATTACGGAATGAATGACATCAAAGAGAAAGAACAGTTACCTATTGTCCCTCTAGCCACATAATTACTCTCCTGTGAGTGCGGACAGACAGACAGACGGACGGAGGGTAAACCTAAAGTCCCCTCCGGTAAACCGGTAGGGGACTAATAATTGTTTACTTACCATGAATAGTTTATAGTCTGTAGCAGTTTTATAACTAAACCAGAAATGAATGGTTGTGTCTCAATTCAACTCCAAAAGGATTTTATTGGCTTTCTTTAGTGCTACCTGAAGATTAAACCATAACTTGCTTAAGATTTAGAAGAAAAAAAATAAATTGTGGAATTCCTTTTCATTTTAGCGAAAAATATTCTACATAAGAATTGTATATATTCAGTCTTCACCAACATTTACTATAGGACATGAATCTGCCCTTGTTATTAACAACAAATACAGCAGTATTGCATGCAGTGATAACACCAGTCTATTAAAAATTCTTAGTTTAAAAGGGATATAACTTAAAAAATATTGCTTTCACAGTCATTGAATTTAAGATTTTGAATTCACTGGCCCCAATTCCAGTTTTGAATTTATTCTACTATATATTTAACTACATTTTCTTAAAATTTACACTGGCCCAAACTAATTTTCACTGGCCATGGGACACCGGGCCAGTGCTAAATTCAATGACTGCTTTCATAAGAACATGTATGCTCCCCTGTTTAACAATTACACTTTGTCCTGATAAGCAAGCCTTTCAAGTTTCATGTTGATACATTTCAAAATATTCAAATAATGCAATTGTATGCCAACATACATTGTAGCAATCTGACATAGAATGTAATAGCTTTGAAAAAAAAAAAGCTAGAAATTAGTCATTCATGATGTTTGATTGTAACTAAGAAAGTATACTCCACTTTTGAGGAATCTGTAACTATTTTGTTGTATGGTCTGAGAATTGACTACATCATCAGTACATGACAGAATCCTTTCCAAAAACCATATATGAGCCGCGTCACGACAAAACCAACATAGTGCGTTTGCGACCAGCATGGATCCAGACCAGCCTGCGCATCCGCGCAGTCTGATCAGGATCCATGCTGTTTTCCTATCAGTTTCTCTACTTGTTATAGGGTTTGTAAGCGAACAACATGGATCCTGATCAGAATGCGCGGATGCGCAGGCTGTTCTGGACCCATGATGGTCGCAAAACCATTATGTTGGTTTTGTCATGACGCGGCTCATATATATTTTTTCACAAGTGGATTTAAGACCTATAATGACCCTCTATTATTTTTTCGACTCAGTGAACAATTACCTATAATAATATTATGGAGTCATACAAATATCAAACTCATCATTTAAGATGACACCAAAATCTTTCAATTGGACCAAAATTAACCATGTAATGCATGTTGTTTTTTTTTCTTCTTCTAATACAGTATTATATGCCACTTTAAAAAATGTCATTATTGTTTAATATTTAAATCATATGAATAATTCTGATCATGATATATATGGATCACATGTTGACATGTATATATCCATTAATTGGTTCTATAAACTAATAAAAAAAACATGAATTCAGCAGTATTTAAGATTAATCAGTTTTTATATGAATTATATAAGTAAATTAGTTATGCAAGTATATATAGTTATATAGCAATTTTGAAAGGTATTATTATAACCTGTCACTTTCGACAAAAATGGTTGTACTTACTCTCCTCTGCATATGCACTGAAGTCCAGGTCATCTTTGATGTCCCTGGTAGTGGTATTGCAACACATGATGACGATGAAATTGATTTATTTCTGTAATTGAAAATATAGCATACTAGTACCATGGCCTAAAATCTTGACTATTCAAACCAATTACAATACATGAATTGCTGCACTGCTTATTAGGAAGAAGGGTTGTCAATATGAATTATCTAACGTTTCCAGCACAATTATGGTTATTGTCCATGATTATTTTTCAAATTTGTGAAATGCTGAAATTTACAGCAAAAATGATTCAAATGAGACAAAAATATTGATTTTTGTGCGATTTTCCAGACAAACATTTTATTTTTTATACTTTATTTCTTTGAAGATTCGACAACCCTGGATAGTAGATCAATATATCAGACTTACGGGCTTGTTATTGCTTAAATGTCGGTCAAGGTTGCCCAAAAGCAAAAATATCTCAAAATCAAAGGACGTCACATTTATAGGACTACCCTTGATAGTTGAACATGCTTTGAAGAAAAGCCTGTTCTGCTAGTCAATAGTTCTAACCCTTTTTGAGACACATGTGGCTAATCTATTTCACAGCATTGTAGTTACTATACAGTACAGCTTACAGTAAAAAACAATAATGTGATTGGAAAATAAAAGTTATTCAAAATATAATTTTGTTGTATCTTAAATGATTCTTAAAAGATAGTGATTGGCCATCTTAAATGATATTACAATGGTTACAATGAACATACGCCATAAAATTGTAAAGGATTAGGCTCAGCCGATCTTTTATTTAACCTGTTAGCAATTTACTGGTACGAAAATTACAGTGAACGAAAACTTGATACACAGACGTGGATCTGCAAGCTTAATTTCTTTATCATCAGACCTGGGGTAATCATCAATTGTAATCATCGATTTTTTAATTGATTACATGATTACACTGTAATCATCATGTAATTGATTACCTTGCTCAAAATTGATTACATTAATTGTAATTAATCAATTACAGCTTAAATTCAGTCTGTAATTATGATTACAATTTGATTGATGTTGATTACTTTCAGATTTTACAATCTGAAACTATTGAAATTTAAATGATTTATTTCACATGTTACAGTTTAACTTATACTCCTTTATAATGATCTTTAATCACAAACTGTAGAGTGTAAATTGATTGATTTTGATACTCAATAGCAGCATTTTTATTAAATAGAGAGAATGTTCTCTACTGACATCCATATTTGAAGTAAATAATAGAAATTGTCATAATAAACAATGATTGTTCATAAAGGTAGTAAAATATCACATGAGATGTTTTAAGACATCACTCACGATGAAGAAATAAGTTTTAATCCATACATTCACCAAATTCTAACTGAAAGATAGACATTGTTTGGCTGGTATTCTAACCAAAATGTCAAGTCATTGGATTTATGATGTCTTTAAATTTCCTAAAGAGACATCTGGAAATGTGACAGCACAGTGCAAATTGTGCCCTAGGGAGATAAATGGAAACACTAAGTCACATTCAAATTTCATTATAAAGGTATGTTAAATTTTGTTTAACATATTTTGGTTTAACCATGTTTTAAAAAGTTTCAAACAATGTAGATAACTTCGTTACTTTGTATAGTCAGTTTATGTCAGATGCATATTACTATATTTTAATTATATGCAACAGTTATTTTGTAAGGTGATAGACAATGTGTCTATGTTATAATGGATACTGTTGTACCATTGAAGTGTTGTAAAAAATTGATAATTTCTTTGTAAAGCCTATTGTCATTGAATTCCCATACAACAATTTATTGTTTTCACACCTGTTTTAACACCTGTATACAATATACTGTACAATTGACACTTTTCAAAATTTCTGTTGCAGAGAGATTATTATGAAACCTACACCAAGACTGAGGACCATTCCTGCATCATCGGCCCCCTGTAGAGCGTTTGTTTAGTGTTGTGGGTAAATTTTCCGTCCTGATAGATGCAGTCTGACTGACAGACGGTTTCATGAACTTATGATGCTAAAGTGCAATGCTAAAATATGATAAAGTGATGTGACAGTAACTAAAAGTGTGTTAAATTGATGACTGTTGATGAGCTGGAAATCCTTTGTGTATATAATCTATATATTAAATAGTATTAAGAAACTTTTGTCTATAGTTATACATTGAATGTAATCAATTATCAATCAATTACTTTCTTAAAGTAATTGTAATTTAATTGATTACAGAGGCAAGTCTGAGTAATCAATTGTAATCAATTACAATAAAATCTGAAAGTAATTGTAATTAAATCAATTACTGATCAATGTAATCATCCCCAGGTCTGTTTATCATAACTCAAAACCATCCTAAAAACTATAACACAATATCTGTGTTTATATATTCGTAGGTGAAATTTTTCTATAAGTAGATCTAAGACCAAGAAAAAATTAAATGCAAACAAAAACGATGATCACCTCACCTGTCAATCAGATAACAACTTCACGGTCGCTTTTGGTTTTAATTACGCTTTTTAGAACTTTTCATCGCTTTGAATCACTACCGGAGTATATCCTTGATTGAATTAAATCACAGTTTCTTCCCACTTTTCGCTTTTTCCTTTTCCAATCTCAAAATTTATTTCTCGTATTCGTGACACACCTTTCGTATTGTCCGCCATTATTTTGGTTTGGTAAATCATATCACGTGACTCAGATCCGAACATTTACGGAAATAATCGAAGGGCTTCCCGCCAAAATATAAATCTTATTTGACTAACCCAGTCAAATAAGAAAATGCATTTTTTAGAATGGTCAGAAATGTTACGGAGAGCGTTTCTAAGTTGGAAAACTTTGTCAATACTAGTTAAATAATGCATTTGATAACAATAAGGCGTTAATTTGACAATCTGTTTTGATGAATTTGACCAGGAATATAACTTTAAAGCGACACATCTTTGATTTGAGAACTTGGTGTCGGACAATGACGTGGCGTGACAATATTTCTTGTCTGAAAAAATACAGTGTAACAAAACTGGATAAATTCCATTGGAAACAATACCTAGTATTGGCCAGCAAGAAACTGAACTGGATGACCGTGCTAAACCAATCGTGCGAAAATTGCATGGCAATAATACCTTCTATCAGAATAAATCATGCGAAATTATTTTCATATAAATGATAAATTCATATACATGTATTTTGATTTAAGACTTTAAATAAATGGTGTCACATGTTGTGCCAACTTCGATTTTTTTTCCAAACTTAATCAAGCTATATCAGTTAAAAGTTATTATCTACCACTTTATATTGATAAAATAACTAATTAATAACTAATTAAATATAGGTAATTTTGTAACAAATGCCATCATAAAGAATCAAGATGATTATTTATCTTCAACATTATATTGGGATTGATATTGTGTACCGTTTGTTTGTCTAGTAATAGTCGTGAGGATGTTTGGGCCATTTCATTACTCACCATATATACAAAATCAATTATTTTTTTTACATCAAATTGTTATTGATATTTTCAAATAGAATGAAGTTGGTCAAGTTACATTGTATCAATGGTGCATTTACGAAATCATCGCTATACGACTTAAGCCCTTATTTAAATTGCCCAATTATATTCATTTTATTTATGTATGTACAATATTTAAGTGTATTAAAAATACAATGTCTGAACAAAATATAATATCTACTTCCTGATAAAAAGATACGACTTTAAAAAGACTTAAGAGTTTTTTATCTATGCAAAGTCTATAAACAGACACCACTTAAGATAACATTGACCTTGACATTAAAGGCAAAATATATATGGAATGTCTATAAAATAGGCCAAATGTTTGCTACAAATGAATAGATTTTTATTATATAATTCTGTAGAACTTAGTAATGTATGTACACATTAGGTTAATACAACTTTGTATTTGGATAAAATGAAATGTTGAACTCCTTAAGTGAATATGATTTGAAACTTGAAGTGATCATAAGAACAAAACTTTAAAGTTAAGCAGCTCAATTTTGACATTTGAAAGCCTTTCGCAAATGATAAACGCTATCAATGTTTTTGCATTTTGTAATAACAATAAGTCTAGCGCGGTCTCTAATCGGGGATATTAATCACATTCATAGAGAGCGCTAGTTTTTTCTTTAACCTTAAAGTAGCCTTATGAAATACATTTGTAGTTTTATCTCTTATTTCATCGATTGTGAAGTTCATGTCTTTAATTTTTGTTTCTTCTATACTGGTATACAATGTTTATACAGTGTCTCTTCTAATTATTCCATATTGCAATATCTTTATTAGATGTCATTATTTGATCTGCCACTTTTGAGTTTCACGTCCCTAGATTTCTTTCCTCTATCTTGTTCATTTTATGATATGCGTGTCATTGTTATCTTCTCTGTCCTACTTTCTTAGTATTGTTTCCTGTAATATATCAAGCTTACTTTGAAATTATGAAAAATTTGTGCATTCATTGATTGGTCACATAGTTCAGGTTCGTCTAGCTTGTTCAGCTAGTAATCATTTTATTTAAGTGTGTGTTGTGATTGTTGATTATGTTTTGTTTTTACCTTTTTGTCACTGCCTTTGTTTGATTTATATGCTATTTTCTCACTTGACAACTTTAACTTGTTCTTCAAATCTTGTCTAATGACAAAGACAAATCAGTCTTCTTTGTGTTTTAATAACACTAGAACTATATATTAAAGTTGAGATTTGACTTGTTTAAGGACAAGTTATAGGGCCCCTCTGTTTCATTCTGTAAATCAGCAAGCTGTCATCTTCTGTCCTTAATAATTCTGTACAGATGACATAGCTGGCTACATAACCTTCAATTCCTCCTCAGACTCCAAACACTCCCAAATGATCAAGGCAATTTAGGGGAAGCAGTGGGACATGAAGTTCAAAAAAGAGAAAATAAAAGTCCCTTAAAAATACTTCAAAATGCCAAGTCATTCATATACCTAAAAAAACCATGATTTATCACCAACAACGGTATGCTCCATGGCCTATCCCTGAACCGGTCTCTTATGCTAAATATCTCGGACTAGATCCGTCCGCTGACCTTAAATTTAACACACATATATCTCGAATAACTTCCAATGCAAACAGATCCCTTGGCTTTATTAAAAGAAATGAGATTACCAAAAATGAGAAAATGAAAGAACTAGCATACAATTGAATATGCATCAACTATTTGGTCTCCGTACCCTTAAACCAATATCTATAGACGAGTAAAAAGGGATTACTCCCCTCTGTCCAATGTCACAGCCACGCATGAGGAACTGGGCTGTTATACATCATTTTAATAATTTGCCAGAGTATGTATATTTGGAAAAGTTTGTCGGCATTAAATGAGACAGAAAACATGTTTTGTGTATTTATTAATTTTAGCTAAAACGTCTTTTAAACTCCAATAGATAAAAAATGAGAATAAAGATCAACAAGGCATGGCGACGTTCACAGAACGCAGCCCCCGACACAATTCAGTCACAACAGCAGAGCACCCAGAAGGCACAAAATATGAAAAACATTGTCATTAAAGAAAAGGGCGTTTAATGAACACAGCCACACACGATCCATTAACACGGGGCACCGACAAGGAGCCCAGCAGGACACCAAACAAAACAGGATAGAGATCAGGGGAAGGCATGGACAAGTTTATCAACGTCTTACATAATGAATAATTATTTATGGTTTCTAGTGACACGAATACAGTTATTTTGTACGAATATCATCCGGTCAAGATAAATATGAAATGTAAATTATATTATATACTTTTACGCTTATTTATATTTTTCTTTTAACTAATAAACAACAAAGGATTATGTTAGAAGTCTACTTTAAAACTCTATATATGCGCATTATCAAAGCTCTAGCTCTAGCAGTTAAAGAAAAGAAAATGTTTATGTATTTCATATACATGTATTTAATGATTATAATTATCGTAGAATGGTCAGGCAATTTTTAATCAGAATCTCACGATTGTACGAATTTAGTAGATGTCCACAAGGCAATTCTAACATCAAATATCACAGTTTAGGCATTGGGAAATTGTTTAAATGTTTTTCTGTATAAGACTTTGCAATATCAAACAAGTTGACCCCACAAACTTATGAGACGTCTAATATACAATGCTACATGACAAATAAACACGCTATATGCATTGCATTGTATTTATTAATGATCTATTAAAGATCTATCTTAAATAAGGTAATCAACTTGGTCAACTTTGACCCCAAGATTATGAACTGAACAAATATGATAAAGGTTTAATAGAAGGTTTTAAAGGTTTGCACCTAAAATGTAGTTTTTTTTCTTTATGAGACTATGTTTATTAAAGGGAATTCATTGACGATGTCAAATTTTACGCCATGGTCATAACTAAGAGGAATATAAACTTTGTGGTCATCTTCAATACAGTACTTTAAAACATTTTTTTCTACAGTGACGTAGTGATTTTGTGCTGGGTCCTGTCTTTTCCCTTGGTTTTCATATAAACCAACTTATTAACACTTGATGAGGTCTTCCATTTTACGGAGAATATTTTTTTATTCAAAAAATATTAGATATATGTATCTCAAAGTATATTCTCATTAAAAAAATATTAGATATATGTATTTAAAAATATATTCAAGTGTCTATAGTTCATGTATGCAACAAGAAATGTGGTAGGAATATGCAATGTTTAATTAATTTTGGCGAAGAGGTTTCATAGAAGGTTTTGTTTGAAATAACTGTGGACGATGGATGGATGACAGACAGCCAACCACACCTAAAACTCACAAGCATCATGATCAGTAATAAATGAAATAAAAATGTAACATGTTAATGATGCATTAACCTTTATAATTCACGTTTCATAATATTGTCAAAATGTAAATATTAGCTAAAAATGCAAAATATAACATTATAATCATTTAGATGATAGTACATGTTGATTAAAAGTAATGTTAATACATTTTACAACATATATATGTGCGTATTGTTTGAAATATGACAAATGGAATTATAAGGCATTTCTATATTTCTACATTTTCTAAACTGAACAAATATTACTTTTCAATCTCTTCTAAACACTAAACCGCATAAAAATACATTCCCCTCAAATCGTCCCCGACGGATACAATATGATCACAACCATTATCTTTACAAAATATATAGAATGAACAACAGAACAATTTAGTTATGAAATAACGTTTAATGTGTTACAAGCGACTTGGTTATAGCTGACTGTACATGAAATGAACCAACATATATATGTACAAATAAACCCTCATTTGCAAATAGCATACATTAATTTATATCGTTTCATAAATTACATGTAAATAACTTCAGTCAAAGTACAAGACATATTATTGAAAAAGATGGAACACGTACATCTATTGTCTAAAATCCTTAACAAAACTTATATATAATAAAAATTTTAATTTTCTTCTTCGGACATGTTGACAGTCGATTAACCAAGCGCTGAATGAATTTGCAACGCTATTCCGAAAATCACGTGCTGATTTTGGCGCGAATAGCGCCCTCGTGTGATCCGACGGGAACAAAACCAGGGGAAATAATTTTCTTCTAATGCACTTTGTTTAAACGAAGAAAATTTTATTCCCCTCAAATCGTCCCCGACGGATACAATATGATCACAACCATTATCTTTACAAAATATATAGAATGAACAACAGAACAATTTAGTTATGAAATAACGTTTAATGTGTTACAAGCGACTTGGTTATAGCTGAACTCAAAGAACGGGATAAAGCATGAAATGAATATAAAGAGTACGTGTTCCAAATGATCAAAAATGTTATAATCAACGAACCGATTGTAAATATCATAAACCTAAACACCGAGAAACGAATAATCGTTCATCCAAACTATCTTTTACATAGCCATCCTTAGCTTTTTCACTTAACCAACGACCATGTCGTTT